TCCATTACAAATATCTAAGGCTAAAGACACATCATGTTTTCTATCATAAAAGGGAGGATTTCCAGTTGATAATTCAGCCATAATCACACCAAAACTGTAGATGTCAGAAGCTAAAGTATATGATCCTCCATTCAAGACTTCTGGAGCGATATATGGTAATACCCCATATATTTTGTCATTCGAATTTTGCTTATCTGCTGGTCCTGTAAATCCAAAATCTGAAACAAAAGAAAATTCTTTATCTTGCAATATATTTCCACTATGAAAATCTTTATGACAATATCCTAATTTTTGTAAAGTAGTAAGGTCTAAAATAATATAATTTTCGAATTTTTTCTTTCCATAAAATATTGTTAAAATTATTTGAAAGACAATTTCTCAAATTTCCATTAGATAAATATCTTACGATCATAATAAATTCTTTGGTTTCTGGATCCTTAGTTATTCCATAAAAATTTATTGAACCTCCATCGAATTTATAAAAATCCCAATGTGCTTTAAGCTAGTTTTTGTAATATAATTTTAATTAAAATAAAAATATTTTTATTTATTAAATATCAAATGTAAATGTAAATACCTCATTAAAATAATTGGCTGACATATTTTGTGATCCATTTAACCTTTTCAAAGCAACCTTTCTAGATTTAGGGTCTAATTTTTTCCAACTTCCATCATCTTGTTTTTTAAATTCCGATTTACCATCGATCCATGTTGCAGAATACACTTTGGCGAATCCTCCTTCATCAATTTCTTTTATATCTGTGAAGCTATCAAAGGGCACCTATTCAAGAAATGTTGGATATTGATATTTTTCATATTTTTTCGTATCTGCATTATACATTGTATCTTTAATGAATTTATCAATATCAGAATTTCCACTAGTCCATCCTTCAATTATACACCCAGGGTCACATTCTTTACACCATAATTTCTCTGCAAATGGTTTAACACAATAAGAACATTTGTTATTTTCTGAGATATTTAATTCGTTGAATTCAGATTCTATATCCATTTTTTTTTTTTAAAAAAAAAGAAAAAAAAATTTTCTGTAATTACAAATGAGGATATAAAAGGAATTATATATGACCAAATTTGGATCAACGGAAAGAACACAAAACAAATGATCGCATAATGAGGTAATTTTAATTTTGGTCAAGCTAATCTCTAAACTTTATAACTTTATCTCAAAATTTAACTATAATAAATACCGAAACTCTTAACATTCCATATCGTTGGAAAAATTCTAGTTAAAACCGGCCTAAAAAATTCTTAATCATTACAAATTAACAGCCACACACGCAGCACTTTTTTAAATTTTCTTGATATTTCACTCTTAAAATTTTGACATCTTCTAATTAAATCGCTATGATCGAATTCTGCCTGTCAAATCTGACATTCGATAAATCTGGATGAAACGATTTCGTTTTTTAATAATTTGCGAATAGATGTTACAGGACTTATATCAAAAAAGGGCTATTGTGCAAAAATTGGTTCAGCAATTCAAAAATCATAAATAATATAGAAAGTCATGTGGTTTCATAAATCACAAATTTGCTAGCGATTACCCTAGCGATTACATGCGTCAATTGAAAAGTAGGGTTTTAAATTTCGATTCTACAACTAACAATACTTAAAAACAAAAAATTATATTTGAGCAATAGATAGTTAATATGTAATTAAAAAAATAGCTAATTTACTTATGAAAAATTTACACAATTATCTAAATCTTTGACTATCCTCCTGGAATATACCTCCAAAGATTTAATTTTTACGAGAAATATAGTTTTATTACGTTAACGCTATCTGTAATGCCAGTCGTCGCTGCAACTCCGTATAAATGCTCCGATTATCCTATTTTTTTTTTTTTATCTTTTTTATCTGTATTTTATTTTCATAATTTATTTTATATTCTTATTTTTAATTCTAGTTTTTTTTATCGCAAATGAATATGAAGGTAATGTAATACATGAAAATTGTTTAATTTAAATTTAAATTAGGGATGTTAAACGGTCCTAAACGGTTCTAAAAGTCCCAATAAATTTGCCAGTTCTAAAGAAGATTTTTATTTTGCTGTAGAGGTTGGAACCGGCCCAAAAATCCTTAACCGGTTAAAAATTTCTTTAACCGGTTAATTAACCGGTTAAATTTAACTCAGGCCGGCACTATAAATTTGGGCAA